ATATATATATATATATATATATATATATATATATATACACACACATATATATATATATATATATACACACATATATATATATATATATATATATACACACATATATAAAATAGAGATTCGGCTGAAAGACCTGGTGCACCTTTTATTTGAACCTGCAGATATTTTTAAAAGCTGATCTGAAGCAAACATGCAGATGTTCAACTGAACTGACCACTCATGCTGTGTTTGATGGTCTCCTCCTTGTCTGTGGAGGCCATTCATCCATCCATTCATCCGTCCTTCCATCCATCCATCCATCCATCCATCCATTATCTTCCACTTGTTCTGAAGTCAGGTCTCGGGTGCAGCAGCTTTATCAGGGAGCTCCAGACATCTCTTTCCACAGCCACCTCTTCCAGCTCTTCTGGGAGGACCCCAAGACGTTCCCAGGCCAAGCGAGAGACGTAGTCTCTCCATCGTGTCTTGGGTCTTCCCTGGGGTCTCCTCCCAGTCAGACATGCCTGGAGCACCTCCCTAGGGAGCTGCTCAGGAAGCATCCTTACCAGGACATCCACACAAATAAAATGTTTGTGCCTTCAGGTGTAAGCTGTAACCACCTGTGATGAGTGTTACATGTATAATGAGGTTATGCAGATCTGAAAACATTGACCCTGGACCCATTTGGTCATAATGCCTAACAGAAGAAGTGTGTGACAGTATAAGTGTTGGAAATGTTCTGAGAAAGCTTCTGTTGTTTTGTTTAGACTGATCAATAAGCTCCAGCCTGGTTCTATAAAGAAAATCAACCAATCACAGCTGAACTGGCACAAGGTACGACTCCTATCCAACTGGAATCTATAACCAAACATTCATTTGTAAAAAGCTTTTTCCATAATATTGTTTTCTACTTTCTGTAGCTGGAAAACCTGGGAAATTTCATCAAAGCCATCCTGAAATACGGCCTAAAGCCCAGTGACATCTTTGAGGCCAACGACCTGTTTGAAAGTGGAAACATGACACAAGTCCAGACCACACTGCTCGCTCTGGCCAGTATGGTGAGTGGATCCAAAGTTCAGAGGGTTCCTGTGTTCTGAGGATTGTCTCTGTTGTTGTTGGACACAAATCCAGAGTCCAGTCCTTTCATCAGCATGTTCTCGCTGTCAGGCAAAGACCAACGGCATGGACACAAAGGTTGACATCGGCGTGAAATATGCAGATAAACAAGCCCGACACTTTGATCAAGAGAAGATCAAGGCTGGGCAGTGTGTCATTGGACTGCAGGTAACCACGAGACAAAACTCCGTTATTTTAAAAAGATCTCTGTCTACTTGGAACAATGGACTTATATTGCTTGTATAAAACGAGATCGTAAAAATACAATAAACAAATTTTATTGACACTGATGTCACTATTTCTGGTGTAAATGACGTGGACGGGTTCCTACAGTGTGAGCTGCATACTACTGGCTAAGGCTAAGTACAGTCAAGTCATTATTCACGTTGGCGAAAATGACACTCGGTTACACAAATCATCTTGAATGATAATTTTAGACCAGGGGTGTCAAACGTACTTACAAATGGGGGCCAAAATTAAAACTTTTTTCAAACTAAGGGCCAATTTCAGCATCTACATTAGCTCAAGTTAAATACCCGACATCTTTTCTTGGTTGCAGGTTCTTCAGCAAGAGTTTGACTGGTTTCATTTGACGTTCTCTGTTGCACTTTTGACATCATAATCAAAGATTACTGAAAAAAATTAAAGTGATAAAAGTATTTTACATTTAAAATAACATTTTGGCAGCCAGATAAGATGTTAAGGAGGGCCACATTTGGCCCCCGGGCCTTGAGTTTGACACATGTTTTAGACTATCTGACCTGCCAGTTAATTGGATTGGAGCGTGTTGTGAAAGAGGAGAATGCAGAAATGACTAATAACTAAGGGCGCTAGCTAACACTATATATATCTATGTATCTATATATATCAATCAATCAAAAGCTTTATTTCAGACACACATGGTCCATACTAGTAAACGAAAACAGGCAAAAGATAACACCAACAAAACACATTAAAAATAGAATGTTCATCCAGTGCCATATAAATGAAGGCGCCAGTGATTCCACAGACTAGAAGAGAACCTAACTGAGTTTGTACGGGGTTGGTCAGAGTATAAATGATGCTGTTTACAGAGTCTGTTAGCGTACACATACATCTGTACATAAGGTTTTGAAGCACAGCAGCACAAGTTTGTGCACTGGCATTTACAAACATCTGACTGGCACTACTCCATCGCGGCACCTTAAGCAACATCACTGTACGCCACTTGAAGTTTATGCATACTGCTTTTTCTGTAATGCTGCCACAGGTGGGCACTATACATTGGAGTACTATATATATATATATATATATATATATATATATATATATAT